ACATGCTTGGGTTACAGACTTCTTTACATGCAAACAACTTTTTATCTTCTTTTAAAAAACAGGTCATAATCTTATTGTTATACTTAAGAAATTGCTGGATATCACAGTCCTTATACTGTATCAGTTTGATTGAGTATTATTGTGTAGGTCCTTTTTATTTTACTGTTACTTTGGATGAGTTTTTCATATGCCATATTCATATGTATCATACACATAAGGGTAAGACACAAACCTATTGAACAAATGCAAGTTGACTGAAGTCACAGATAACGTCATATCTAATATTTAAACAAATCATTTCCTTGTCACTAAAGCATTGACTACGCTATTCATCGTCCTTAAATTCAGGCATTAAGTTATATGTTCCGTTGTACAGCCACGATAAGGCTGTTTCTCAAGTGTGAGGATAATACAATTAAAAGAGGCATTGGTAATAATATTAAAAACAACAATGTTTGGGTCGTTCGTCGGATAGGCGGTTAGCTGCAATAAATAACTCCAGTTCAACAAACCATATTACAATATCTAAGGGAGCGTTATATCTGGACCATCTTGAAATGTGACGTTCATATTTTAAAGATACACACATTTTGTTGTGAAGTTGATTTAATATACACTAAGCCTCTCTTCAACAATATGTTGACGTTAGCTAGTCTATTTTATGCTATAGTAGAGAATGGCGAATTGAAATGAACCTTAACAATGCATACAGTAACCTAACTAGCAAACTAACTATCTAACGTACAAGGATGACCTTATTTTACAAACCTCGCACAGAAGCCTTTTGGTATACAGTAGCATCACACTTAATGTTTTATACTTCTCTATTACGTTTAATTGGATGCTACGCATAGCATCGTTAGCACAGATGGAGCTACCGATTGCTCAAATGCTAACCCAACTCTAAACATTCATTAACGTTAGCTTAATAAAAACAGCAGTAACATAACAACAGCAGTAACATAACAAAGTACGCAGGGTTGACTTACCGAATAAACTGCATTCATGGACGGTCTGTTTTAACCGCAGATAAATTCTATATTTGCATAACGAATAGTCCACCAGGAACCAACACAACCGAGTTCAAGTAGTGTTCTCCTCATGAGCTGAGCCCTTGTAGTATCACGGAGCCAATGGAGCAAGCAGTGAGACAGAGGAGCTAGGAGCAGCAGTCCCGTTGTCATGAAGGGGGAATCTAACTATATACAGAATATGTTTTTGTGGATCCAGGCTAGAAACATGTTCATTTTCTAAGGTTAAGTTGGACATTTTAACATAGGGTCTACGGGAATTACTCCCATCGCCTACAGTTTGCAGCATTGGGCTTCACTGCACTCCCGGAGCAGTGTTGCCAACTCCATAGTAAGGAAAGTAGCTATTGGCTGTCCGGAAAGTCGCCAGAAGTCGCTAAATGACGGCATCGGCTAATTTGCATATCATGTAATGGCGGCTGTAGGAGAGAGCATGGTAGAGGGGAGTACAAAAAACGTTCCCAACCCTTCAAGGATCAAATTCTGGACTTCTCCAGGAAAGCCACAAGAGCTTGGGCTATAGATCTGGCATATCCTCCCTCCAACTGAACAAGCCCCAGAAATGTTGAGACAATTGTTTGTTTTGTGTTACTAAAGTACCTTATCACCAGTAGCATGGCGTGGGAAAAAAATTAGGGGAAGCCAATAATACGTCCTTTCTTTTGGGTCAGGGGTGTGGTGGTCAATGTAATAACGTAACCAGATGAGTGATTACAGCACCCGGTATCATTTTACACACATTTGTATCATACAGATGCAGGACTTACTTATGCCTGTTATCTAACTGACAGGTCCGCACGCACTCTCCAGCCCAAACTCAAATAAGCATTCATTCACAAACTAAATCAGGAGACCTTTAACGTTTTACGTCCAATTCACTCCTTTGTTCCTCGCTGTACACAGCTCCAGTTTGGGCATTGGCCTGTCATCAGATTGTATTTCTTGTTGCTGCTGTAGCGGAAGTTTAGTACAATTATTTTTGATTAAATACTCCAAATCTCCACCCTCCATAATTGCACTTGCTTCAGTTGCTTGCTACTTTCTAACGGCGGTGAGAGTGGTGCAGTGGCGCTATCTATCTTCTATCGATTAGTTTTATGATTCGAAAATTATAAAAGTAGGGTAGACATGTGGATATTATCCGACTGAACACAACGTGCATTTATCTATCTAACAGGTTCGTTTTCCACTGACCTTATTTCGAGCTATTTTCCTAAATCCTATGGAGAAATCCCATTGCTTTTTTGTCGAGGGAAACCGAGCGCAGCTTACTTCCTGGTTTTAGAACGTGTCACTGCAACACTAAGTTGATGCGATTTGATTGGATTGTGAGGGAAGCCAGCCGCCTCTGGCTTCCCTTGGCATGGCCCTGACCAATCACAGGTTGGCAGGGGCATGACGTGAGCCTCATCTGATTGGTCAATCCCTCCATTTTTTTTCACCAAGGGAAGCCAATTTCGGCTGGCCTCCTCTCGAAACAGAGAGTGCAATCTACTGTTTCACCATAACATCGACAGGGGCGCTGTTTCACTCTTTGTAAAATACTCAATGAGAATGGGGGAGAGACGGGCCGGCAGCAACACACAACAAATAATTTCCGAAACTAAACGAAGTGTTTTTTATTTATTTATTAAAATTATAACTACAATCCAAAAAAACAGGGGAAGCCTGGCTTCCCTTGGCCTCCAGGAGAAAACGCCACTGCTTATCACAACCCCCAGGTAGAAACACTGACATCAGTGGACTCATCAAGGAGGAGGCTGAAACGCTGGTCACCCACATCTGTGACCAACTTTTTCAGGAAGTATGGTGCTAGAACACCATTTATCATCTCGGTGCACTTTGTCCGATGCAGCAGTGGAGTCCGAGAATGCAGCTTTACATGCCTCTCCAATGTGATCACATGCCATCATTGAACAGTGTTCAGCCATAGCTAAAGCCATGATGGCTTCAGCCTTTTTTGCAGGGTCAATGGTTTTAGTTTTAAATAATGGCAGCTTGCTTTGAGTGGCACTGTCATAAGGCTTTGCCTTTTGAGTATGTTTTTGGGTTTTAACATGCTTCTTGATGTCAGACAGATTGGCATATAAATCCCCCTTACAATAAAGGCAGTATGCCTGCGTGTCATCTCCAATAAATGGCTTCAACCATCCTTTATATTCAGGGTTTGATTCCCACTCCTTTCTGTATTTTTGAGAATACAATTTAGACTGTGCCATGATGTTTAGCTTGTCACAGAGAGGCACACACACAGTGGACGAGGTGATTGAGTGACTGAGGCTGTGTGAGTCAAAGCAAAGCAAAGGCAGTTATTTATTATAGTGTGAAAGTGAGTGAAGAAACATTTACATTTAAATCCCGCTCAAAACCAGGACGGCTTGGCAGTTGGCGCATGCGCAATTCATTTGCAGTCTCGACGCGGGGGAGTGTGGTTGTCTCCTCTCTGCTCTGACTGCAGCAGCAGCTCTGCTGCGGCCAGGCAACTGTCAGTCTGAGCGCCTGCACTGAAAAAATTGTTATGTTGAATTTACTTAATTTTATTTAGGTAAGTGGTTGCACGAAATTAATTTATCTAAATCCAGATATATTTTTTAAGTTCACTGTACTTATTATCTTTGAGTAATTTCAACTTAATTATACTGATAATTTTCAGCTCAACTATTTTGAGTAGAATTTACTCACTAAACCCATGTTAAGTATACTAACATGGATTATGTAACTGTAACCCTTTTTCTTTTTGTACATTCAGATCAATTCAATAGTTTAATTCCTACATACAAAAATTAAGTTGAATTTAATTAAAACATTTCAGCCATTATTACTATGTTAACTTTCAATATATTAAAATAAAACAAACAACATATTTGATACATACTCTTACTTTATTATCTTGTACAAAATGACGTAACATGAAGCATGTGTCTTAAACATCTTCTGATTCGATAAAAACAACATGCAACTGTCATGGCCTCCACCTCCTGTGTGTGAGTGTAGGAGTGGAGACAGGTGAGTGGAGACAGGTGTGTGGGAGCCAGGCGTCCACAATCCAATCACCTCTGCTATAAGACTCCGGCCCTGACTCCTCCACTTCGCCAGATCGTAGACTCTGTACCCACAGTCAGTCTCTAGCTTTGGAAAGTCTTCGATTGCGATTCCCTGTTTGACCTGTTTTCTCCTGTGCCTGCAGCTTCAAGCCAGCCTGACTCCTAGCTCCTGTCTCCAGACCACCTCCAACGTTGGACGCTGTCCCGCTCCTCCTGGCTCTTCTCCCTTGGACTCCGTCGCTTCCCTGGCCCAGACCCCCCTGCCTACTGCCCAGTATTATTCAATAAACTGTTTTATTGTGCTTGAAACTCTTTCCTCCTGTCTCTGCTCTGTTCTTGGGTTGCTAGCCTTAACAGTACAATCTGGCCACTGTTAAGGCTTGCAGGGAACCCAGGAGCAGAGCAAGACAGGAGTTTCAAGTACAATAATAACATTTATTGAATATTACTGGGGGTCTGGGCCAGGGAAGCTAGACGGAGTTCAAGGGAGAGGGGAACGGAGGTCTGACCAGGTTGGAGAGTGCAGGGAGAAGAGCCAGGAGGAGCGGGACAGCGTCCAACGTTGGAGGTGGTCTGGAGACAGGAGCTAGGAGTCAGGCTGGCTTGAAGCTGCAGGCACAGGAGAAAACAGGTCAAACAGGGAATCGCAATCGAAGACTTTCCAAAGCTAGAGACTGACTGTGGGTACAGAGTCTACGATCTGGCGAAATGGAGGAGTCAGGGCCGGAGTCTTATAGCAGAGGTGATTGGATTACACACACACACACACACACATACACACACACACACACACACACACACACACACACACACAATTTCAAGTATACTACGTCATCGAGTGGCGCCGAATGCTGGGCATTTAACATGCATTTAAACAGTCCTTCGGCACCACTCGATGACGTAGTATACTTGAAATAGTGGCTCTGCAGCAGGTTTACTCGACATTGAGAAACGGCCACTGACTGGCAGAGGTGGAGGCCATGACAGCAACAAAGTGCAGTGGAAACAGACATAGTGAATAAATCCTGACATAACATGAAGCATGTGACTTAAACAGCTGAGGAGGATGTAACCTTCCTCTAATACATGAAACAAATGTCTTCCAAGTCCATCGAGATTTCCACATTCTTCTCCCAACCTTTGAGGTTTGACTGGTGTTTTTGTAATGCTTTAATGGCATCGGTTCACAAGAGCGGCTGAAGAAATCCTACAGTCCAGCATGTATCTTGTTCTTCAGTCCAAGGACTTTGGGGGAAAGCCTTTCACCATCCATTTGCAAGAGCACTTTCTGAATGAATTCATAGTAGTACCTTAGCTCTTTGGGGTAAGCCATGTTCAGTGTATAGATGACTCCCAGCATGATGGCACAAGCTCGGGCTACAGATCCAATGTTGTCCAGAATAATTAGTCCTTCAACAAAAATCCCAACGTCGTCATAATGTCCAGGTTCTCCACCCTCCTTGTTGATGACATATATGCCCATGGTAGATTTCTGCAGGTCTCTGGTGACGTCATCTCCTTCGATGTCCTGTATATTTAAAGAAAAAACATGTATTTATTCAATATATGTAATTTTAATGACATACTTTATCGTATAATTTTTTTGTAATATTGCTCACATACCTATTAATCCCTTAAAACAAAGCTGGTCATATTGTATATATTTCTGAATCAAACTAAATATGTGTGAGGTGTTTTTAAAGATTTACGTAGGAACCAATAAGCTTGGTGCTGAGTGTCAGGAGTCAGAGAGGATTGGCAGATGGACAAAGACATTGTTGATTATGGTCTTTCCATTGGACAATAAGAAAAACTATGAATAAAGCCAACCTCGTCGTATAAATAACCAAGCTGATGGTTTGAAATGCTTTAGTCTGTTGTTGAATATCAACATACATACATATAAATATTCTCAACCTTCATGCTCCTTATAAGGTAAAACATAATGATCTAAAATGGATGCCTGACACTAGGATCATAAAACACTACATGTGACTGGCAAAATTACAATGACTCACCATATACTCCCGAATGAGATGTCCATCATCCTCACCAAGGTGGATGCAAAGTGCCTTGAGGATTGCTTCCCTTTTAAGGTTAACATCACTTGTTGCCTGTGTAAAAAAAATTGCAATTATTAAAATATTTCTAAATACATCAATAATAACAAAATTGTCTATAAATTGTAGAAGATTTACAACCTGTAGTAACCTAAATATACAATATAATATATACAATGACTTCATTATACATGTAAATGGCATGCCCTAACTTAAGTATGTTAAAGAATTGTGACTTACTGTAAATGTATTACAATGTCAGAGGTCTGAATGTGTTAGGGCGATAGCACTGTTTACAAATTCTACTCATCCAGGGGCTTTTCACCAAGACCAATGCTCCGTTCTTCACAGTTCACACCTGGAATCTGCCTAGTACAACCACAGTCTGATCTGTTGGCAATTGAGGATTAAGTGACTTGCTCAAGGCAGGTTCTGCTTTTTCACTTTCCCCACCTGGGGATTGCATTTGTACCTTTCCAGTCACAAGCCTGCTTCTCTACCCAGTATGCCACTATTGCCTTATTAAGATCAGATTTCCTTAGAAATGTGTCTTGCATTCTTGAACCTGGCAAGTAATCCAGGCTGTTGTGAGGCAAATGGGGCTCTATACGGTACTAGACAGGTACATTTCATAAAATTGCTCCATAGAGTATATGACAATTTGTATAAAACAGTATACACACATTTACCTTTTGCAAGATCGCCAGATGTTTGGCTAGTTTCTGGCCAACAACTCCTCCCTTCTTCTGGAAGACAGATGTCAGCTGAGGTAGATGGCTGTCCAACTCCGCCATGAAGGCTGTTTCAAGTGGGATAGTTGTTATGCGCTGGAATTCAGCGTGTATCTGTTATGCAAAAACAAAACGACAAAAGACAAAGAGCACATTCAGCCATTGGTGTAATGATATTTTGTATCTACTATATAATTAAAGGATAGATTCTAATGTTGACCTCATTAACCAAGTCCTTGATAAGACGTGTATTGGTGCACAGTGTGTTCTAACCAAAGTATTTATATTAATCTAAGGTAATTGCAAGGATTCAAAACTAGACTTGTAAGCTGTATGGTTGTTTAAACCTTGCTAATACTTTAATTGACAATGGGTAAAATGTTGAGGTATAAAGTGAAAACCCCAATTCCAGCAGCAGCTGTTTTCTTCAGACAATCAAACTGACAGTTAGAGAATAGCTGGTGAAGAAAGCGGAACATTGAGCAGCTAAAGAGCCAAATACTTTACTAAGGAGTTGGTGGAGAGCATAAACAGAGCTAAAAGATGTGAATATTGGACTTATCAGATAGACAGAAACACCATTTCAAATGTATGATCATGTTGCTCTGTAGCAGCTCGATGTGTACAGCAAATAGGCATTTCACCATTCACCATGTGAAATATATAACTTACCTCATCAATATGGAGTATTGTGAGTAAGGTTCTGTTCCCCATCACACCAACATCAGATAGCAAAACCTGCAATACAAATAAAGATGAGCAGAAATAAAAAATAATAATGTTAAATGAAAAAATGTAATTGATTGCCAATGATTACTGACTTAGCCAATGACTCAAAATCCTACAAACTCCTTTGTGACAAACAATGTAACGTTTATTTATTTTTTTTAAAATAGAGCCTAAATATTACTGGATGTGGTGCACTTTTGCTAAATGTTTAGACAAATTGCTTGTGTTACCGCCCTTACATGCTAAACTGTTATTGCACTTTATGGCAGCTTTTAAAAAGGGAGAAGCTTTTCTTTCTTTCATTGTACATGTATAATGACATTAAATGATTATATATTCTATTCTATAGCCAAAAGCAATAAATGATTTCTCACTTTTGGCAAAGAGCATTGTCCACCTAAAAACAGGTAACATTTAACCACACCTAGGAGCGCTTAGTTCTCTCTCCACCATGTGTGTGTGTTGCATGCATGTAGCAGCCGCGTGTGTATAAACTGCCTCACCCCCCTCGCACACAGACGGGAAGAGAGAGATCTCTCCTCTGGATTGGAAAGATTGAAAATACATCGACGCATTTTGTCTTATTGCATATTATAAACGGTGTTGGCGAAACTAAGACTGCAATATAATGTTAAATGTCTCAAGTACCGATAAACAGACCGTCCTGCTAGAGAGGTGGTACTTTCCTGGGGAGAAAAGGTTAGTGGGTGTGTCGGCAACACTAACTATTTTTGACTAACTTATGGCAACACAAAATAATACATGGGAGAGGTGGAGTGATGAGGAGGTGTCGGCGCTTCTGGCGATTTACTCGGAAGGCTTCAGTAGAAGCCAGTCCCCAACTCCGGGGACTTCCGGTGGCAGTATACGCCGTGAAGTTGTTTGCGGTGTAGTGGGGCCGACACACCCACGAACCATTTCCTCCTCAGGAAAGTAATAACTCGCTAGCAGGGACTATCTGGGGGTGGAAATAAGGTTCGGGGGGAAAAGTACTTGTGTGAAACGTTATATGAACGTTAGCCTCCGTAACATTAACCCCTTGCCGCCAGAGAGTAACGTTACCAAAACCAACGTGATTTCACATGCTTAGTTGTGTCCTAATATTACCACAGTGATAAGAACAAGTTAAACAAAAAACATACTTACAGCCGGTCAGGAACACAGTAGGCTAGGAATGGCCAGTATACAAGCCAGGTGAAGCTACAAAAAAAAAAGCATAGTAATAGGCAGTATTCAACTTGTATTAGCCACAAACTAATAATAAAGTCTAACAAGACAAAGATTGAATTTATCACGTATTTAATTTGAGAGCAGTATCAAGTTATCTTATAATGTTAATGATACATGTTACACTTCAATTAGGTTACTTAAACATTACTACACAACTAAGCTAGGTTAACAGTAGGCTAACAGTTAGCTAGCTGCTGTAGGCCTACGTTTGCTAATGTTAATCTATCAAAACACACAATAGCGTTAATGTTAGCTATTAATCTACCTGTTTAAGTATAATATAATACACCCAAGGCTATGAATGAGCTACTTACTTAAAACGGAGAGCCGTGGAGAACGTTCACCTCACGACAGAAGAGCTACGCAGGCAGTCAGGTGATGGTCCTTCCGAATGGAAAATGGAGGGAAAAGTGGCGGGCTGCTTGTGTATGCACATGCGCAGACAGGACAGTATATGTGGTAATTAAATTGTACATATTTTTTTCTAATTACTTTTAAATGAATGAAATGAGCTTGTTTTAAACAGTGACAATATATGTTAAGATTAATTAAAAAAGATAAGAAGAATGCAATAACACATTCAAATCTATTAAAAAAGGCTAGATTAAAACATGTAACATCTAAAAGGGGTCATAATCAGTTTTTTCAGTGTGTGAGTACTATGGGAGGGAGGCGGGGCTCACGGCAGCACCCGTGGCTCGTTAACTGCAGAACAATACGTGAGTCTCCAAACACCAGAAAAGTCCCTAATAACACCATTATAAATCGTTAGATTAGTCGTTAGTCGCTTTTGACACAAATAAGTAGCCGGAGGGTTTGGAAAGCCGCCAAATTTAACGAGAAAATCGCCAAGTTGGCAACACTGTCCCGGAGTTCGCCGCTTGGCTCTGATAGGCCAGAAGGTGGTTTGATTGCATTCAGGCTCGATTGCTTATCATGTCTGAGTAGTCCTGATGATGTTGCATCGCAATTTTGGACAACAAATTTTAAACACCGAAATTGTGCATTCAAATTGTTTTCACTTGAATTGTTACATTTTTATTTCACATAGGTAAATTCGGAGCAAAACAATTCAGATACATGATTTTCAAAGTAATTATTTTCAATGCTATAAATTCGGTGTCTGATAAAATTAAAATACTTCTGTCTCTTGTTTGCTTCCATATTATTGGCATATATATTTCAATGGCTATGCGCTCTTGAAACACTTTCTTATTATTTATGATGTAATATTTTCAAGACATTCTTTTTTGTTTGGCATCAGCCATTATAGATAATATGGCCATCTGAGTGTGTGTGGTACTGTTTGTGGTTTGTTTTTCACTGTGTAATACAGTTAATTATTCAAAATGTTCCTTATTTTTACACTGAAACTTGCACTACTGTTCAAAAATAAATAACAACAAACCTGGAATTATGCATTTGGGACTTTTTTTTGCTTTTTCTTGTTGTACCGAACCCGTACCGAACCGTGACCCCCAAACCGTGAATTCTGTGAACCGTTACACCACTAGTATATAAGTATTTCATTATAATTATTATTGGTACCCCCCTTTCTTCCTGGGATATAGACTGTGTAGTGAACAGGTATTTATGTTGAGAAAGAGGATATTCTTAGATTGTTATCAGTATTATCTTGTCAGACAGACCCCCAGAGAGAGTTCAATCCAGTCAGCTATAAGGTAACTGTTGTTACTGCCGGTGTACGGTGACACTTGTGGGCAATTTGTAAAACAGGATGTGCGATTTGGTCCAAAAATAGATACTGAAACTATAGCTTGCTATATAATTTGGAGGTTGGGTTAGACTAAAGTAATAACTACACTGGAAACATGATTATATACTAGGAGTGACATACGGCCAGACTTTACAGGTTTAATCTGTAATGCTAGCTCCACGTTATATTGGTCTCATGTGTGAAAATGTCTGCATCCTAACTGAGATGTTAGGATTTTAAGATGTTCACATGTTTCACAACCAGGCTCCATATCTCACTTGCTCAACCTTTTCCGGCAATTCTAAACCCTTTAAAAATTAAGTTACATCCAGTAACGACTACTTTTGTTTTTCCAATCCAACTTTATCCAATCCAACTTTATTTATATAGCACTTTAAAACCTTCAGACCAAAGTGCTGTACAGAGAGATAAGCTCACACAACATAATATAAATACATTTAAAATACAAGATACAAACACAAAACAAACCAGAATAAAGTGTCTGATTAGCAAGGGCAGGTCGTTCCACAGTTTAGGGGCGGCAGCAGAGAAAGCACGGTCCCCTCTGCGCTTAGACTTTGTTTTTGGCACCCTGATCAGCTGACCTGAGAGTGCGAGTGGGCGTGTAGCTGTGTAACAGCTCAGAGAGGTAGGGCGGGGCCAGGCCATTGAGGGCTTTAAAAGTAAATAAAATAGTTTTAAAATGAATCCTCAAATGAACGGGCAGCCAGTGGAGCAAAGATAAAATGGGGGAAATGTGGTCGTATTTGCGTGTGCCAGTTAGTAGCCATGCTGCTGCATTTTGCACCATCTGCAGGCGAGCAAGGGAGGATGCACTTATCCCCATATATAGTGCATTACAATAATCCAAGCGGGAAGTGACGAAGGCATGGATTACCGTTTCAAAGAGGTCACTATTTAAAAAAGGCTTTATTTTGGCTAGCTGCCTGAGGTGGAAGAAGCTGTTTTTAACAACTGCCTTGATCTGGCTGTCAAGCTTGAGTTCAGGGTCCATCTTTATCCCAAGATTTGTGATGGTAGGCCTGGTGGAGTGGCCCAGGGATCCTAGGTCTATAGGAGTGGTCCGAGGGGCACCAAAAACCATCACTTCGGTTTTGTCATCATTTTCTGTGAAACCCACCAGTTGGTGTTGATTCTAAGTAGTGAAATATGGAGTAATTTGATCCATTCTTTCTCTGCTTATACATATTAATTTACCAGGTGCTGAGAACATATGTTACAGAATTGTTATAGTCACTCAATAGTAGGTGTTTTATTTGAGAAGGTTGCATTATTGCTATCTAAGTAGTCAAAGAAATGCCCACAATTCACAGGTCACAATGTACACATTAAAAAAGTGGGCAGAAATTGTGAATAAAACAAAACAACAATGCATTGTACTAGAGGGGATGTATTTGTTAAGGATTGCACTGTTGTGCTAAAACACGTCAAATCAGGACACTATACCAATAGCAAGTTTGTATCCCTTACTGCTAAAAAACGGCAGCAATCTTCTGTATTCATCACTTCAGTGCATACAAAAAAAAGAGAAGCAAAACTCCACATGGTCCGATGATCAGGGGACAAGCTGACCCTGCGGATGCCTAGATCCTCTTGTTTCCTGACACTGGCTCTTTAGCTACTGTGCAGTCACGTCAAAGGCTAACAACAATGATGCCCCTTTCACACGAACACATTCTCACTCCCAACTCGGCCTATGTTGACGTTATTTCAGGGTCCCTGTCGTCACTTTCCAATGCAAGGGGGGGCCCTTTAGCGTTGAGTTTCAACTATCAGGGAGTCCCATTGACTTGCATAGAGCTCCCTGAACGTTGGTAATAGACGAGTTGGGATCGCGGAAAAACGCTCTCCGCAGACCCATTCTCACAGCGTTTATCAACCTTTTTCTTACTCAATATCAAGCCACACTTATTGTTTTTACTTTTTTATTTTAATTGAATAATGTAGGACTTTTGTTGCCATCAATTATGGGGAGAGTAGGGGCTCAGAATACTGAAATATGTATTGTTTCATCGTTTTTTCCTTCTAATTTTGTATTATTTTCTAAACCACACACTAATAATAATAATAATAATAAATGATATTTATATAGCGCCTTTCAAGGGACCCAAGGTCGCTGTACATGGTGGACAAACAAAACAAACAGACAATCAACGGGCAAACCAAATAAATAAATAAATAAAGGAAGCCGGGGGACCAGAAAAGGGCTAGGGCCCGAAGGCCAGGGTGAACAGGTGTGTTTTTAGTGATGATTTGAAGATGTCCAGGGAGGCAGCATTACGGATCTCAGCAGGAAGTGCATTCCAGAGGGTGGGGGCCGCAACACTGAATGCCCTGTCACCAACAGTTCGGAGGCGAGAGCAGGGGATGGAGAGCAGGCCACCCCGTCCCCCCCTCCCCCCACCCCGTCCCCAGAACTACACATGCTGGCTATTGTGTTTCACAACATGTTCTCTATGGCACATCTCTACTGGGAATTGTAGTTTTAAAAGACGTTTTCGGATTTCCCATAATAAGAAGTTGCCAGTATTAAACTGTGTACATCCCTTGAGGTATAGGGGATAGGAAACACTCAAATTTAAAACATATAATTAATAAATGGGTGAAAATTGCTTTTGTCCATAATGGGCAGCATTAATATATACCCACATGACAGCTCATTGTTACTTTGTAATTCTACTCCACTACAGTTCAGAGGTTAACCTGGTATTTGTACTCCACTACATTTATTTTAGTTACTTTGCAGATCCTGATTAATGATGTGAAATATAAACAACCCTTAAAGCAGACTTTAGTTACACCTGAGTAAAATGCAGGGAAGGTGATTGTCAAGTTCCAACAATCAGGAGAGATATTTGATAGTGGGTGCTTGAGAAGACTAAACATTTATCTGCAGATCCCTATAAAGTATATTCATCACTCGTTATTCTCTACTAATAGTTCATTAAAGACTGTATATTATGGCTATTTTGCACATTCCTTTCAAGATTTTCAAAGATGTATTGACATATCATATACAAAACTTGTCACGATCTGTCTTTGTGGTGTTATGTCTTGTTTGGATCTGTCTGTGGTTCCCTGTCGTTAGTTTCCCTGGTGTGTCTGATTACCCGATTGTGTTCACCTGTGGCCCCTGTGTTTTCTCCTCCCTCCTCACCTGTGTCTTGTTTGTGTGATTAGTCTTGTGTGTATTTAAGTTCTGGTTTTTCTGTCTGTCTTTGTCGGTTCGTCTTTCGTTGTTGACTGTGTTCACCGGTGAGTGTTCTGTCTGTCCTAGTTCTATTTTTCATTATCCTTGAAATAAAGGTATATCAGTTTAAATTAGTGATGGCAAGATGAAGCCTTATGAGGCCTTATTATCTAGCCAATTGGTTCATCTCATGAGGCTTCATCATGGGCTTCATTTGAACACAAACCCCCTGTTGGTCAAAGTGTGTAAAACAGGCAGATTGGACATCTCAACAGTGTGCTCTATCTCATACCGAGTTCCCAATGAGTAAAGCCTTAGAATAACTCTAAACAACGAACATAAAATCATATTTTCATGTTAACAATATTGTTTTTATTCCAGTTGAATGATTGTGATTGAAAAGCCTAAGGAGGCTGGTAAACATTGCAAATAGGGATTTGTATTCCTTACTAATATTCATAAACGTAACCATGTTGTAGCCTGAGAAAGGCTAAACCATATCAAAGAATACATTTATTAACTACATTATCTCATTTAGCTGTAGCTTTTATAAACAACAAAAAAGACGTATTGACGAGTCGTTGAACCAGGAACCCTGCGATCGTGAGTCAACTGCTTT